CTAATAACATACGTAACCTACGCAACCTTAGAAGTTAATGTTAGGAGAATCGAAACATTTCGGAAATGACGGCATTTACATATTGTCACTCCATCCCTTACCCCAGCACATTCTGAACCGTGACAAAGTGAAAGCTCATGCTGTGTTTTTATGTTTTAAAGCCCAAATATATTCTAACATATTGCCTTTATTAATGTTTACTCAGTATGGCGAAAATTCACCGAATGTTCATGAACGTCGTGGAGTTTGATCATAAGAACAAAATGACGGTTTTGTACTTCAGCTGAACAACAGTTTAAAATATCTCTAAATTCTGTCCGCATTTGCATTAGGGCATCTGCGAGAAATCTCATCTATACAAAAACTTCGAAGGTTTGTCTGGTGGGACAAAATATAAAAATAAGCAATATACAAATAAATAGCACATATAAAGAAGTTGGTAATTTCCACGCCAAATAACGGCATAATTATGCGGACTACTTTTGCTGCTTCGCGCCATAGCAGCTGTCCCCGATATCCTTATGGATGAGTCGAGGGGAGCCGCGGGGTCTTGGTTAAAATAAAAAGTTTTTGAAGTGCTGAAACGCTTATGCGCAGACTTCCTCTCGAGCGTTGTTTCAACCGATTTAATAGGATTACACTTTGCTCACGTGATGACAATCGCAGAGTACTTTCTAGAAATATAACTTTGATAAATAAAGCAACGCATCTATGATATAGATTTAGACATGTATTGTTGATAAATCAGTTGTGGGTTAGCAAACTATAAGAATGTAACCTTGCTTTTTATTCGTTATTTTTTCAAATATTCACCTTCACGATTAGTATTCGAGTGAGCACACATACTTCCACGATTCATGATCACTTCTAAAATTCACTTACGGTTGCTTTGATCCATAAGTCTTGTAGAGCCAATCACTGCGACCTAGACAGGGAGCTCGACAAATGACAAGGTAAAAGATACACTCGAACTACGAACGAAGTCTGCTATGTGGTATTTGCGCACGATGTTTCAAATGCTTACTTTTTACTGAAATATCACATAACATAGTTTATTTTGAGATCAAAACGTGCATAACGTCCATTGAAAAAAAAAGTAATGTGTTTACAGTTTTTTTTTTACCGGAAAAATGAACTACGTATCAATGAACGCTTATTGTCCGCCAAAATGTAGCGCTAGCGGTCTAAACCAGGGGCCATAGGTTTCAAAACGAGCCGTTAACTTATTCACGAGGGGTATAGTGATTTTTAGAGCGCAGCTCTTAGGGGCCCGTTTCCAGCCTGAGCGGCGTCGCCGTCGCCGTCGCCGTCGCCGTCGCCGTCGGCGTAACCGCGCGTTGCATGCAACTCAGAGGAGATGCAACAGGTTGCATGCAACCTGACATGCAGCAGGTTGCATGCAACCTGAGATGCAGCAGCTCATAGGAGATGCAACAGGTTGCATGCAGCCTGAGATACAGCAACTCAGAGGAGATGTAACAGGTTGCATGCAACCTGAGATGCAGGAACTCGATGAAGATGCAACAGGTTGCATGCAACCTGAGATGCAGCAACTCAGAGGAAATGCAACAGGTTGCATGCAACAGGTCACGTGACTCCCCAGGTCACGTGACCCCCCGGTCACGTGACCCTGAGGGGGTCACGTGACCACTCCGAGGTCACGTGACCCCCTCCCCCGAGGTCACGTGACCCCCCCCCCCCCGATGGCGTCATCGTCACTGATAACGTCACCGGCATCCGCATCGTCATCGTCATCATCGCTGATAGCGTCATCAGTGACGTCACTTATGACGTCACCGGCATCCGCATCGTCATCGTCATCATCACTGATGACGTCATCGGTATCCGCATCGTCATCGTCACATGAGTGACGTCACTGATGACGTCATCAGTGACGTCACTGATGACGTCATTGGCATCGTCACGTGGCCCCCCAAGGTCACGTGACCCACCCACCCCCCTTACCCTTCCCTCCCCCTCCTCAAGAGCTGCGCTCAAATTCGGCGTTACAGGGAGTTGTAAACGGCTTTCACTTTTTTTTTTTTAATTTTTTTATGGGAAAATGGCGGCCGACAGAACTTTTTTTGAAAATATTGAGCTGAATTGCTCTAGTCACTTACTGAAATATTTAGAAAAAAATATAAGTTATTATTGAGAAAATAGCTTACTATTAAACTTTTGCATGTGGTTTAAACCGATAGTGCTACATTTTGGCGAAGAGTAAGCGTTCGATGATGAGTAATTTATTCTTGCTGTAAAAAATCCCTTTACATTTCATTTAGTGGGGAGTACGCCCTGTACATTCGGCCTCGTAGGCCGCCGAGCTCTTTCTGTAGGTCCTGTAGTGATTGGCCCTCCGAATGCTCAGCAGGCATGAAGGCACATGAGCGTACATTTAGAGCATGCATATATTTTTATGTCTTCAGAACACGCGCCCAATGTTTCGATCATGCACCGTAACTAAAGATATCGCCCTCTTAAAGGGTAACTGCAACAAAAGAAATGTATTTTTGAACAACCTATATGGGACAAGCATGTCACAAAACATATCTTCCGCGAAAGAAGAAGTTTCTTCTAGCAACATTTACGCCAGAGGACGTAATTTAGTCGGAGTCACCACTTTTCCAAATTTGAAACTCCCGCTCTTTCGACCCGCGCGAAGTGGCTGTTATACGTCACTCCGTGACGTATAGCAGCCATTACATTACGTATAATACCAACTTTGTGGTATTTTACAGCAGTAAGTTTTGCTGTAAAAAAATTTTGTTCTCGGCGGAAAAATTGTTTTGTGTCATACTTGCCCCAATTAGGCTGTTTAAAAATGCAGTTTTTTCTTTGCAGTTACCCTTTAAGAAACGCGATGCAAGAAGTGAGCTCGCACTTTTTGCTTCGTGATTCGTTCTTCGGCGGTTTGATTGGCTAATATCACAAACTCATTGGCAGCGGACCAAGGATAAATTGCAGAGCACTTGACACGCGCTGTGTTTTTTCAGCTGCCCGTGAGTGTGGCAGACCTTAAAAATATAAAGCGGAGATTGGCTTTTTTCAAACCTTTCGTTTGATCGAAGTTGCGGCGTTGCAGGAGAGTTATTTACACGTTTCGGCACCACGTAAGTGCAGTTTCTGGGGCACTTACGGGACTTTCTCTTTTATGGCTTCCCGGTCACTGTGGCCGCAACCGACGGTCGATCTTTTATCCAGCGAAAAAAAAAATTAGAGTGATGACCTGTACATATTTTGTCAATATACTCCGATGACTACGAAGCATACTTACAGGTGTCCTGTCGCAATTTTGTATTTACTTCGGTTCGCAGATCAATCACGTCGCAACATTTTCAATACAGATTCAATCAGTAAGTGGAAAACGATAGTATATATATATATATATATATATATATATATATATATATATATATATATATATTTATTTATTTATTTATTATTATATATATATATTTATATATTATTTATACATATATATTTATTTTCGGAAGTATATATATATATATATATATATACTTCCGAAAATAAATCCCTCGGGACATTTAGAAAGTGCGCATACACACTCCCGTATACGTTTCTTTTCTCTACTATACTTCGATGAAAGTAAAATATTTTTCAATACTATTGTGCCATAATCGTCATGAGGATATAATATTTGAAGCATTTTTTAGTTCATTCACGTAAATATAAAAACGAATACTTTTCTTTTGGTGCTCTCTTAAAAAAAATTAAGAATTAAGCTTAAATTTCTTGGTGTGCCATATTTTGTTAAAAAACCACCGCACTAGTTAAATAAAATTAAGGTATCCACCGCGTGAGCCGACTGAATTTAAACATTTAAAATAAATCCCAGTAAACTGATTTGCATGCGACAGCTCTGTAATTTTCCACAGACGTGAGACTGGGTGGTTGAATTATTTTTACAAAAAAATACAAAAAGAAACACTTATTGCAATAAAAAAAAACTAAAAGTCAAAATTGTTTTACGCTTCATTACATAGTTGAATGTTTTAACCCTTACACTGAAACAAAATTCTTTTTGTAGGTCTTAAGACTCTTATATCAAGCAAGCAACGAGTGCCAGCCCAGACTTTTGCTCTTCCCCGTCTTTTTGTTTTTTTCCGGATTCAAACGGCCCAAACGTTTAGAAATAAACTTTTTTTTTTCTACACTGTCACGAACATTAGAGAATTGTTGTTGAAAAGTGAAAGTTCTCATTGGGGCATGTTTCTTTTTACATCTTCAGAACACACATTTACCTCTCAAAACATATTTGTTCTAAATGGCAGTTTCAAAGCAAGATAAACATTTTTTTTTTTTTATATTTATGTATACAGGGTGAGATTCATTATGCCCTTGCTGTAGTTTGTCGATAAACAGCCGCACCAGAATATTGCATTAAAGGAATTGCTCAATTCAGGTGGTCTACTATTTCATACTTCTAATAAGCTGTTCATGTAACATTCTTTATTATCAAAAAAATAATTTTTCAGAAAGTGCCGTACACTGAAACGTAATTAATGCCGTCAGGCGCTATACCAAATCTGCCGCTTTATCAGCGCTATCTTAGAGGTGATCGTTTGAAACACTTGGTTATTTGTCAATTTCTCCATAACCACGCAAACTGGGATGGTCCATGCAATCCCATATATATATATATATTTATTTATTTATTTTCTTGTAACTTGAAGTTTGTAGTTTTTTTTTAATTTGAGACATATAGCAATAAAGCTTTGTTACTGCGTGTTTACTAAATCAATTCTTTCTGACGAGAAAAGTCCGACGCATTGCAGTCGAGATGTACCGCTTGTTTTGTCAAGTCAGTAAACGTGAGCACAATGCGCGCCCTTTGAAATGAAAGTGGTGAGTTAGCATTGTTCTACTATGGTTATGGACACTTTGCCATATTTGACTTTTTCAGATAAAGAAAGAGACAGGGAGCTGGCATACGATCAAGCACCAGATGACTTATTTTTTTCTACTTGCGTTTGTTTCAGCTGGTGGTCAAGTCATCGCAATCACAAGGCCGCTGCTCGGAGTTATTCTCGGGGTTGTTGTGACGCTCGTCGTTGCGGCCATTGTTATTATAATTTTCGCTAGATACAAACATCCAAAAAGGACAAAAGGTAAGTAGTAATTTTTTAAGTACAAATGCAGAATGAGAATGTCGTGGTATGGAAATACATTTGTAAATGACAATAACTTACAAATACATGATGGTGTAAAAATATTCCTCAACACCTTGATGTAAAATATAACAGGGTTGTATATAATAGGCCTTAAATGTTATCTACATGAAACGCAGTTCGCGACTTTGTCGTTTCCGGACTTGCGTCAAAATGGGTACTCTAGGCATTACGCTCTATTACGTGTTTTAGAATAAATATGGACCTACAGGGAAGCCGAATCGCCTTTGGAACAAAAAGAAATGTTTTAATAACCTAGACATCGGCAGCTTAAAACTAATGCATATACATTTTTCCATAATATCGATTTGAGGTGGCGTAACCTATAAGTAAGTCGCCAGAGCTCCGGCCCGCCCTGCCCGCCGAGAGCAGAAGAGGAGAGAGAATGGAGGTAATCTACTAAAAGTGACGTCATCGGCGGTGTCAGGTGTCCGTTGCTCACCTTTCAGCTGGTTCAGGAACGCCAGCGACCATATCACGACGCCTTTGATAAATAACGTGCCGCTGAGAAGTTTGCCGCATACCTTGAGGCACTTTTTTTCAGAAAGAAAGGTTGTTTAGGCTAAAATTCTGCCGAATAGTTCAACCTCACTGAGCCAGCCATGGCCACATCGCCGCTGCCGTGATGCATCGAGGTATGGTGGGCCAGACGATGGCTTGTCGATTGCTCGCTTCTCTCGGCGACTAACGGCGATCTTAGGTCTTGTCTTAGTGTCATAAACACTACAGTATTATATGTAGACTGGCAGCATCGCCACAACTACAGTGCACGCTGCGTCCGCAATTCCAAGTTACAATCGTCCTTCTATTCTCGCCGAAACACCCTCTTCCTTTTGACAAAAGGAGAGTCTGCGAACCTGTGATGCCACCAGGAGGCTGGCAAGGCAATTGATGCTCCGTTCTCGTCAGACCAATCAATCACCGGCCTTCTATATCCAGATACATGAGCACACTCTGCACGAGAGAATGCTCAGAAAGTGTGATCGCGTGGGACAAGACCGACTGCTGACTGTTCCAAAAAGCACGCAGCTTCAACCGCCATGACAGCTTATTGGTGAATGGAACATAGGAGCGGAAGTAGGCGGTGCTACCACGCTCGCAGATTGCAATCTGCTGTGTTGGCTTGAATGGCGCGACTGCTTTTGCCCGTGAGATTGTCGCACCTAGCTCACTTTCTAGCCCACCATAATCGATATAACTTTATTATTCTTGCGTGCTACGGCAACCTTTCTGCTGCTCTGCCGCCTGTCCCCTGTGGACGGAATTTAGAGGCGTCATGCTTTGGTTGACCGAATTTCATGACATCACTATATTTAATACGATATTGGATTTTAACAGGAAAAATTATTTAGAAATCCTCTCCGAACCAACGTCTTCTCAAATGCACGTCAGCTTATTAATGTTTTGCTCCTCCAATTTAATTGACAGATTTTTTCTCGCATTAAATGTGAAAGATGTAAAAACGCAAACACGTGGAGTGCAGGGTAATACAAGTTTAATCAAATAACAAAATTTATTATCGAAAAAATGTAAAATGCTGTATCATAAATAAAGCGATAGCTCGCTCCGCTTTATGGAAGGTTAGGAAGTATGAGAATGGCCTGGAACTTTAGGTTGCAATATTGCTATATAATTAGTCATTTTCTTTACGTAACTGGTGTCTTAAAATATAGCTTGACAAGTCCAATTAAGATTCCAAGACGCGTCTTCTTTCAATTGAAGCCAGGCATGGTTCAGTGGTTAGAACTGATTTGGAGTACTCGCTCCCTAAATCCCGCGAAAAGGAAATTAGGCAAAGGGGAAGGGGCGGGAGGCAAGGGGAGGGGAGGGGAGGGGGTTAAACGGAAAGTAATACAGCAGAGGAAATTGAAAAGAGCAATAACGGAAGCATGTTGAATTCGCCAGCGGTCGAAAGCGACAAGTCCAGAAAAAAACATGATAAAAACAAAACTTTTACTGTCGTGCAATCCCTGTGGCCATGAGCTGCTTCCGTTGGCTATAGGACAGGGTCCTTTTCAGTGCCGTTTTATTTATAAGGCTAAGATTGACTCCTAAGGTCCGCATTCCAGTCTTTTTAGCCGTCATAAAATGCGACGCCATTGTATTTAATACAAGAACTTTAGAATAGCCTCTTTCTAGGACAAAAGTAAAGACACAGTATTTATAGCTAAAACAACATATTGACCCTAGATTGCGTGTTTTCCCAGTACCTGCTATTTGACGCCGCTGCCTGAAATCTGGAAAGAACAGAAAGCGACAGTCATTACAATGTGTTACACTGTAGCATCGCCATCATTACTTTTTTGCATCAAAGACCTGTGTCTATTACACAAGCGGGAACAACTTAGGTCTATTTATTTAAGCCAACATTTCCTAATTATTTGGATTAGTCCTGGCAACGCGACTCTATCGCTAATGCATTAGTGTTTGTTGATCGTGGCCAATATTTTCATGAATAGGAACATGTCTTGGAAGCATAAACGCTCGTAGGAGTTCGGAACTAGCTAAGCCATTGAGCATGTTCTGCGGTGTTTTTTCTCGCTTGCGGCTCGAAAACCAAAGCCACGTGGAGATTACATTCTAAGATATTGTAACTACACCCGTCGTGACGCGCATCCTGCTTTCGTGCCAAGGTTCACTATACGTCGCGCTCAACTAAACGTTACTCGTCGCAAGACCTCTAGCGATTTGTTCGCTTATTTATTGACTCTCATAATCATCGCGATATTCTTTCCTCTGACAGGCATAAGCCATACAGGTGAAATGTGCGGTCAGTAATGCAGGGCTGTAGTGAATGACGCTTATGTTTGTCATTTTGTAAGGATATATGAAGGGTTACTCAGGTGCCAGAAAAAGTAGACGACTAAGTTTATTGCTTATCTTGTGTTCATGATTCTGTTGTAAAACGAAAATTGATGTGAAAGATGTAAATAACTTGTTTAGTCATTTTAGCAAGCGATGCAGTAACACCGAGTGTAAAAAAAAAAACTAAAAAGCAGCGCTGCGTGGGTTGATATGATACGTAATGCTATCCCTGTAGCGACTGTTAAAAAAGCCAGGGTTTTAAATTGGTTTTGAGCTTGATTTCCTTCTTTGCATTTTTTAAAGGAACAGATCACGGAAATGAATCGAATGATGAAAAGTAAGTATTCATAAAATGTAACTAATTCAAGAGGGTTTTGGCATTAGGGCACAGTTAATGACTGAAAAGTATAAATATATTTGAAACATAATAGAAGTTAGATTCTAATTTTTGTTTAAGCTGTTACTTTTTTTTAGGTTGCATACACTACTGAGAAAAGATGGAGAGGAATTCGGCGACATGGAGGAAAAAGGTCCAGACATCATACCAGCTACGCCTCTCAGCAAAACGCGTATAAAGTGTATGACTTTACTTTTCACCAGCATGGCATTGAACTCGAACTTGCTGATGTTAATTGTCTTAGGCCCTTAGTAGCCCAGAAAGGTATGTTTAAAACAAGAATATTTGTGCATAGATGGTCATCTCTAACCCATGTAAATGTCAATACACTTTTATACCGCAAATTATTTGTTTTTTTAATATTTATAGTAAAAAATGTTTTGTACACACAAAAAAACACAATGTTGTGAGTTCAGAAATGTATCGGTCCATGTTATGAAAGCAATACCAGATTATAAATATTTGTGGTTAATTTTATCCGTACATTATCAACAAACAAGCCATTCCCATTTACCTAATAAGGGAACTTTTGTTTGAACACTTTGCAGCTTACGATGGTGAACTTGATGAGAGTAATAACTACAGGAAGGAGGTTTTGACTAGCTTCTACAAACTTCCAGTGTCAGCGAATGACAGTCTTATTGAAGGCAGCTTATCAACTTGTGTATACGGTGGCAGCAAGGTAAGTAAAGTCATATTTTGGTCCAGATATATTTTATGTTAGAAGAGTAGCATGAAAAAACACCAGTTATCACTGAAAGAGCGACGTTAAAAAAACAGCAACTCAAAGAAAATATTTTTATATCAGTAGATGTCTGAATAATTTAGAGCCGAATATCAATCGCTTTTAATAAAAATGTACACAACATGCCATAAATATAACATTTGCGGTTTAACTACCGCATTTCGCGTTTATATAGTCGCACTCGCTAAGGCAGGAAGGTTAAATTTCGTTTACAAAAATAGTTTCTTCCGATAGTCCAAACCCAGTGCACAGCACGCGAAAAGTATTTACTTTATATATGTATATTCCTGTTAAAATGACAAGTTTCTAGTTGCCCAACAAATAGTACCCGCGATGTCTAATACAACAATAGACATGCATTCGTGTGATTTTCGCGTTTCCTATTATTTCGTTTATTCGTATTGTTTTAACAGAAACGAAAATGAACTTGAACGATACACTTTATTCCGGAGTCATCGCGACAGGCATTCCTGGCAAATTCCACAGCCCCTTCTTCACTTATAGTAAACTTTTTGCAACTGCCGGCAGTGGGTGTTTGCTCCATCAAGATCAAGCTTGATTTAGATTGTCTGCTTGTGCTCAGCTACCTTCTGCGTCAATCGCGGGGTCGTTGAAGGCCAAGGTAACGCGCTGAAAGTCTAAAATTTTTTTGCTGACTAATTACCATCCTGAAGCAGCTTGATCTCGACAAACACACTGGGTGACAACCACATCGATAACAGACGATCTTGAAAAAAAAATGTTTTTATTGTATTTTATTTTTTACCTTTATGTAATTTGTACAGCGCAGAATAAGCACTTTAAAACGTGATACGTTTGCAGAGCAGAAAATGCGGTATTTCCGAAAGGATCCTGGAGGTCAGCTTCAGACACACATTTGTCATTTTTGCTAAGAAAGCTTCTCTAGGGCTGATGATTGTAATCGAGTACATGCACTTTATGATATAAAGTAAGGGGACTTGGCGAAGAAGAACAATAAGTGAGAGTGTAAGTTAATGGCAGTTTACCTTAGGTAAACTTTGGTCGCAAGCCTCTGTGCGAGTTTTTTTCGAACTTGGGCTACCAGCTACTTCCCTCTTCGTGTTTTCATTTCGATTAAACAACTCGCGTGTGCTTAGCCGGTAATTGGTGACTGAAGTGTGTATCAGCATAAAAAAATATTCAGAGGTCAATAAAATTACCTACAGGTAAATTACCAATTTTAGTGCAACATTCAAGTTAACTATGCGTTTTGTTTGAGAATACATGATAGCGCACAAAACAATAGACAAAAGTAGCGGAAATGTCCATTTTTGTGCGCTGCCTTGTATTATGAATAGGACAAAGTGGTGTCCAGCTCCTCCTTTTGCCACTGTCGTAGAGCTCTACCGTGTATTCGCTAAATCGGAACCAACTCAACCAACAATCAGCACTTCCATGCCACCAAACTCCTAATAGATGACAAGATTAATAAACAGGCAAGATGATTAACGTTACACATAATTCTAACCTGAGACGCGACAAAGGGGACAAGGGACAGAAAAACACGTCTGAAGATGTGTGTGTTTGTTTGAGTTTGTGCCTTGTCCTCTTCGTCGCCCGTCGTCCCTGGTTAGAATCTTGGTCAAAATTAAGCTTGCGTGTTTTTCAACAGAAATTAATATGCTTTGAAGAACGCGACCGCCACCCACTCTCAGTAGTGCCTTATATTGTTTTAAAACTGGTTTGGGCGAGTTCGTTCGAACTAAATCAAAACGTTAAAAGCGCGAAAAAAATGAGTACAATAAAGATATAAAGACGACGCGACAGGCGCTAAAAGGTCTGTCCTGCTTGTTGTCTTTGTGTCTATTGTCCTCGTTTTGCTCGCGCTTTTAAGCTTTATTTCTTAAATTGTGTTTCTCCGCAAAAACTCAGAAGCCTGATCTTCCGACTGGCAACAGAAAGAATAAAACAACCTTGTCCCTTGTTTTATTCTTTCTGTTGCCAGTCATTGTTACCGACACGCTCTTCAGTTAATATGATGTTCCGGTCCGCAACTTAATATCAGAAAACGAGCGATGAAAATAGTGCCTTGACTCCTCTTTACTTAAGCGCCTATTCACCCTTACTTTCCGCCAGCCCTACCGCCTCACCAACTTCACAGATCTGATCTCACGCGTCACCCTCTTCATACCTCCCCCAACCCCTCCGCATGTTTTCTTTAGACATCGGAGACATGTACTATATTCTGGACATCGGCTTTCTCCTCGAATCCGTGAACAACGCCATACACGAGCATGGCAAGTGCATGTCCCAAAACTCGTCGGAAGTTCCTGTCAGGCAATTTCTTTCCCTCCTAGACCTCTACCTTCTCTTTGCAGCCTTTGAGTAGAAGGTGGGATTTATATACAAAAGGCAGGCTTGTGCATCGGGTCCTGCCTGGTGCCCATCCTTAGTGAGGTGCTCCTGATATGTGTAGATCGGGTCATTAGGGCACGGTTAGAACTTCCGGAGCCCGGATGTCAGGTATTCTGTTACTTGCATGACCATCTGACTGTGTACCAGAAAGAAACTGGTCTTCAGATCATAATCGATGCCTTTGCATTATGCCCCTCCGGCCTTGATTTCACGAGAAAGGGCCCAACTGTGGGCGACCTCCGATTCTTATATACCCGAATTAGTTTCTACACAAATTCTTTTTTTTACTACGAATTTAGATGCAAATTAAAGAAGTCACCTTTTTCATTCACCAGCGCCAATTCTAAGACGGTCAAGCTGGGGCTTCGTCCGCGCGAGCTTGGTCCAGCTGCCACCTCGCCGCACATAGCGTCTGCCTTTAGACAGATAGGCTGAGGAGAGCGGGCTACCCCGAGGACCTTTTGGAGAACACTCCGAAGGAGCTCATAACCCCGTCCCATACGCCTCCCTTTACGCCCTGACCCTGCAGGGAACAATTCGCAGTCATACTGTACACACACAACACCGCGAATCATTTTGAGGCGCTCGCCTCACGTTTCGACGAAGAAGTATTCTTCAGATTTAAATTTAAACTCGAACAGATCTGCCGGCAAGTCAACATACCATCCTCACCTAACCCCTTACCCAAAAGGCATGGCAACCAGTTTGTACAGTGCGAAAAATAGATAATTTGTTTAATCATTTTCTCATATCAAAGAGAATACATGGGACAAACGGGTCGGTGCTTTAATGACCTTCTGAGGAAACATTCCCGAGACGTTACAGATCCTAAAGACGACTAAACGCACGCGATCGCCGCACACCACCGTTCCTGCTACGGGTGTTCGCCCAAGTTCGAAAAGACACGTGTGATCGGGCGCCATTTCCAAAGATTTCGGAGGGTAGTGATTGAGTCATTTTTTTTCAGACCTCTTTGATCTTCGTTTAACATTACTCGTTTGCCCTTCGACCCCCTCCCCCCAAAAAAAAAGAGAAAAGGGGGGGTTCCTGCACAGGGTATTTTCCGGCTTGGCCTGGCGATTTCAAGGGCAACCGCTTCTTAGGCTGTCGGCGCTGCTTATCATATTTCGTTTCTGCTCTCCCGTATTCTTCCTTTCGTGCTTAGTCCTCTTTTCCCTTTCTCTAAAACGTTCAGGGAACCTGCAATCCTACATGAAATAAATATTGTTGTGAGTGTTCCCGTCTGTGTTTGGTGTTCTTTCAGTTTAATTATTTCCACTAGATGAATACTTAAACCAACACGCTCGTCACAAATTGTAATAAGGAGTTCATTCGAACGCTTGGTGTTCATTCCTTTCAAGGAGTCTCCGGCCTCGGACGTGGTCCACACGGAACTGGAGTTTACCCGCCCAGCGCCTTGTTTGCCAGCTTTTCCTGCGTCGACACTTCCGCCGTCGCGGGGACCGGGACTCGAAGGCACGCCGAGCACCGAATACTCCCGCATCGACTTTCAGCGGAGGTCGGCGCTGCGTCCTCTGCCGCCGGGACACCAGATTCCGAGTAATTCCCAAGACGACCGAAACGACGACGACGACGACGACACCACACGACCGGAAGCCTGTGACACGCCGCTTGTCCCGGGTAATCGGATGGAGAGCACTGTTTAGGCTGGCCCCGTGGGACTAAGCTCCGCTGGTCAAGATGTGCTGCAACACACAAAGGTTGGAGAAGGTTGTTTTCTTTTTCTTTGGCAATTTAATCTGTTCTTTTAACCGTTTTGCTTGAAGACGCCCGACAGGGAGTCTAAGTGCAGGGAAACAATGACAGGGGCGTTGGGTTTGGAGTAAAGAAAACAGTTCTTTTTAGTACCCGATTTCATCGCCATCATATATTTTCAGCAATGGTCGCTCACAGCGAATTGAGTGCTGGGCCTGGTGAGTCTCGTGCATCTCATTATTGCTCCGCAGTCAATGAAATGACGGTATTCTGCGACAAGTTGAGAGAACATAAGGAGCTACGCCCTGCGTTTTTTTAAGCCGTCGCTTATTAAACTCAAAATTATTACATAGAATTCAAATGAGATAAGGTACTAGTTTGGTGTCTGTTGAGCTTCTTGCGTACGGTGCATGCTTTGGTGTTCTTGACGGGCGTTTCTAGTGTGAATAAAAATTTATAATTAGAGTAGTTAATTAAAGAGAAGGGAAAACTATATAACTTTCCTACAACGCCTCTCGGACAATAGAGCAGATTCTTCAAGTACCGCTTTAAAAAGGCGTATTTTATTTTCGTACCCCTGAAAATTTTTTATTTAGACGCACAGAAGGGGCTGCATCAACTCAGAAAGAACTATTCTAGATGACTTTGCATACATTTTTTTTGCATCGGTTTTTTTTTTTTTTTTACAATACTCCAAACCTAGTGCAAGCTTCTATGCCCCACTTTCAAATGTCCAAAAGCAACTCCGGAGAAACAGTGAGAGTGCGGTAACGATAAATTACTTCTTCTTTTTTTTAGTGCATTCACGAGTTACGGGGGTAGGGTATTGCCGGAGTCATTTTCTTTATGCACATTTTTCATTTCCGGACATTCGTTTCCTTGGAACACTCCAAACGCTGTGCGTGCCTTGCTACACGTTATACGAAAACCTTGATGTCGAGTACAAAATAAACTTAGCTGTTGAGAACATCGTCGACAAGCAAAATTGCTGCAAGTATCATGGAAGGCATGTTTATTCATGTCCAAAATTTGTAAATGTTATATCTTACGAGCTAACCCGATCACCCTTCCTCTTCCCTCATGGCTCTCATTATTCCTGTCCGACAAACTATATGAAACAAAAGCAAAAACAGGCTTTCCGTAGGTGACAACCTTCAACATTACACCATCCCTTCACTCGCGAAATGTAAATCTTATTCGGGGTAGGCTAATATATGCAGTAAAAAAAATTAAAGCATATGTGCGATTTTTTTAAGCTTTCTTTACGCAGTTCAGTTTATATTTTTTCTTTAATTTTATTTAGGCACGCAGCACGACTTATTTAGCTGAACGTTCGCCCAACAAAACTTTATATATAGCAGCAGCTGGATGTACTTCAATATCGTTAACGTATATAGTTACGGTATATGATTGGGTCACTAAGCAGTATCTCCTTTATTAAATAACATATTATTTGATAATATAATACTACATGATTAAACAGTATCACAAAAATCGGTGATTAATTTTAAACGCTGTAAAAATAACGTAAACTATCAACCTGTACACGAAGTGACCCGAAACGTTCGTTAATGCCCCCTTTAGTCTTCGTTCCATTTTTCCAAATATCATAGTACTTTTCTTGGCGATCGTAATATAAACTTAGAGTTTTGAGCGCCAAGCTGAGGCTCAGACGACCGCATGGTGCCAAATTGTTTTGGAACAAACGAAACTTAGTTACTTAGGTCTCTACTTCCAACTAGACCTCAAACAAAGCGCACGCGGATAACACAAAGCGAAGGGCGAAGAGAAGATGGAGATAACCGTTGTGCGCTGTGTACATTTGAGAACGCGCTAAAACTACACTCTAAGAAAAAAGGGAGCGTGATTTGCTCCCTCAAGGGAGCAAATGCGCTGACACAACCATTGGTCCCCTAAGGAAGCAACGGTGACGGGAGCAACCCTTGCTCCCCTACCGTTAGTCCTTGAAAGTTGGAACCCCAGGACTAACTTTTGCACCCTTGCATTTAGACCCCTCGACTAAATGTTGCGCCCTTATTTTATTTAGTACCAAATTCCGCCTTTACACACCCAGGTGGCGCTAGTCACCTTCATATTCAAAGTTGGTAAAAAAAGATAGTATTCCTGGGGCAGATTTTCTCTGCGCTCATTACATTCACATACGAACAACGCTTATTTCACATTTGCAGACGTTATACACTTTTTAACATAGAGAAGGAATTAGAACACAGATGACACACACAACACACACGCACAGCACACACGCGACGACACCCTATGTGAATCGCCACCCCAAAGCCTACCCATGCGCCTTTTATACTGATGATATGAGAGGAGTCGTTCTGTCAGTGACCCTCTCAACCGTAAATGATGTTACAAATATGGTGGTGCTTTCGCACCAATATTGGTCTCCAATATTGTTGGTAAACCTTCCAAAGGGCGGATCTCGTACTAAGAAGTAGCGGTACACCGTTATTATTTGTGACAGTCCATAGAACAGCGTCCCCATATAGGCTCCCGGCAGCCATGTTCTCGCTTCCCCGCATAGACTGTCCTACTTTGCGCATGCGCGTCTCCGTGGCAACCGCATCGTCCCTTGCCAAAAAAAAAAAAAAATTGTAAAGAATGCAAGAATAAAAGAAACCAGAATTTATCTTTTTTGTCTTTAGAAACGTTTTTACCATGTGTTACGTGGTAAAAACATTTTTCTACGTTCCAGTTAAACCAAAAAGAAAATATAAACGTTTTCAAAGCACGTTTAAAAGTATGCAAAGGGGAAGGACCATAGAGTTATTATAATAAACGCTAGAGGCTCAGCTGGCGCTAGTGTCTATGGGACTTCCGGTTGCAAATTGAAGCAGACAGCATGCAGTCTACTTTTCCAGTCTTCCTGTGTATTCCTATGGGAAAACGCGCGTGAATTTTGTCTCGTCGCCGGAAAATAACATTAATAACTTTTGTTATTTCGGTTGTACCGGGTAGTATGTACCTTTATTAATATTGTGAAAGTGTAATTGCTTTAGTTACAGCATTTTTCCTTTACCACTGAACTAGTTAAACTTCGCTATATTTCAGGCCCAAACCTCTGTTTCACTGCAGGTATATAGAAACGAGCGACGATTCCAAGCAAAATAACAATCGAAAGGAATGAAGAGCGTGTTCAAAGTGCGCCAGCATTCCGTTGATGCTTATATATTGCTATTATGCCTGTCCTCTCACTATATGAAAATCCCCCCGCCGTGCATCTTTACGAGTGGTTAAAAAAACGTTCGAAACGTAAAGAATAAAGTACGTGGGCTACGAAAGGTGTATTTTCTTATTATTCCCTATGTTGGGCAGTTTTTATCGCGCACCTGTTCCCTGGCTTCCCCCTATTTGCAAAGATTTGGAGCGTGCGGGTGATGATTTGAACACAAAATAAGCATCTTCGCATGTATTCATGAGCAGAAAGAATGAAGCAGTACTTATTTATTGCAAATCAGACTATATTACGTGACTTTCAATTTATTTTGATCGTCTGCAAGCACAAGGAGTTACTTACCCAGTGTTACTGCGTAGTTCTTGCCGTCTCTCTTGGTTTTCCACATGATCTTCGTTCGTTTGGCACGTATACCCCCCTTCTGGAAAGCGCCGGCGCCGTGTCCGCGCTAACAGTGTCCGACAGTGCACATAAATACATGTACGAAGCGGCTTTAGCACCGTTTTTCATGCCACAATTTTAAAATAAAAAATGAAAGCCGTTTACAACTCCCTGTAACGCCGAATTGGAGCGCAGCTCTTGAGGAGGAGGAGGGAAGGATACAGAAGGGAGGGTATATTCCTCCTCCCTCCTCCTCCCTCGTGATCACGGCTGCTAGTCCTCCTCCCCTTCTTTTTTTGGCGTGAATGTTGTTCATCACGTGTCACGTGGCCTGGGGGTCACGTAACCTAGGGTTGCATGCAACCCGCCGGAGTCGCCGGGTTGCACGAAACCCGGCGCAATCGTTGGGTTGCATGCAACCTAGGTTGCACGCACCCTGTTGCATCTACGTAATTGCGTGTTGCATGCAACTCAAGTTGCATGCTACCTGGCTTACTGCTGGTCAGGTTGCATGCAGCCTGAGTTGCATGCAACACGCAATTACGCAGATGCAACAGGAGTGCATGCACGCGGTTGGATCTCGTAACGTTTCATGCTACCTGTTGCATGCAACCTGTTGCATGCAACAGGTAGCATGCAACAGGTAGCATGCAACAGGTTGCATCTTCCCTGAGTGGCTGCATCAGGTTGCATGCAACCTGTTGCATGTAACGCGCGGTTACGCCAACGGCGACGGCAATGCACGCAACAGGTTGCACGCAGCCTGTTGCATGCGACAGGTGGCATGCAACAGGTTGCATCCAACAGGTTGCATCTCCCCTGAGTGCTTGCATGTCAGGTTTTAGCCACCTGTTGCATACAACGCGCGGTTACGCCGACGCCGACGGCGACGCCGACGGCGACGGCGACGCCGCTCAGGCTGGAAACGGGCCCCTAAGAGCTGCGCTCTAAAACGCCGTAACTGACCAATTATTTCATCTGCGTGTCTGGGAAATGTTCCAATGTGCCTAGTAGGTACGAATTATTCGTGATATTTGCTCTTATAATCGAGCGCAGGAAGGAAATGCACTCGTTTTTTTCCGTAGAAATGCATTACCGGAAGTCGATTTCGGACTGCTTGCTGTCTGCTTCAATTTACAACAGCACAGTAGCGCCAGTTGAACCTCTAACGTACATTATAATAACTCTATGGGAAGGACGCCAGGACAATGGTCAAAAGCCGCATCGCCAGTGCATCAACAATGGCTGTGCTTGAGTCAGCGGCGGCTTCCACGACATGCTGGTACGGAGGCTGCGATCGTTATAGAGTAAGCTTCAACCCTTAAACATGCCCCCTCTTGCAATTTTTGATGCTACGAATGTCTGTGGATACCTCCCCCTCCGTTCCGAAACAGTAAGTGCGTCGCTAACGCTGGCTATCGGCGATGCAGCAGACGCCGCCACCTTGTCCGCGCGTCTTTTGCTCCCGCGCTCTTGCTCCCGCGCGCTTTTCGCTGCTTTTTACCCGCGGTTTTGCACCCACGGCTGCTCTTGCTCCCGCGCGCCTTTCGGTTAGTCCTGGTCGAGTACAGTCAGTCCCCAGCATTTGCGCACGGTACCTAGCTCGAACCAGATGGTCTCTTCGGGGAGCAAATGGGAGTTCAGAGGACCAAATGTTGCCGTTAGTCCTTTGAGACCATCTTTTTTCTTAGAGTGTAGAATTTTATAATTTTGTTTGCTAACCTTTTTTGGCGATATATTTAAACAAATATTTGACATCGCCACCGTCATTTTCAAGATTATTTCCCGAGGTCGCCACGACATTGTCTAATCGCGCGCTTACAAACAAACTGACAAAAACAAACGTATACCTGCTATCCCCAGGATAAATACGTAAGATGCCTCCTGGCCATCCGTATCTCGGCGTGTTTTAGAAATTTGTCAGCAATACATCACAAAATTTAAACGTGAAAAAGCATGCTTTTCAAAATTTCATGAGCTCAAGCGAGGTGAAAATTCATATACAACATTGCTTTCAACTCACTGACTGCCAAGGTAAATTTCGTAGTTTCTATTTCACATGTGCCACAATTTTCGACACAGGCTAAACTGTTCACACTCGTTCGGCAGCACTTCCAAAGTGCACCCTTTCACCAGTACTAACATTGCTGGTTCGTTACATTGCAGATTTACCCGCAGCACTGGAGCGGACCCGAGCGTACACTCGGACGAAGAACCAGCGAAGCACGTATAAATTCAGCAGTTGTCATTAAACCTAACAGTGCTACATAGCAACTGGGTGGGTATATTTGTGACATCCCGACAGATGTGGTGAAATATCAAGAAAACTATTTTGTGGTGCATGGAACATAGTGCACCGACTGAGACGACGCGAGGCACGGACCTGTCAACTACAAACCGTTGGGCGACCCCCACAGTGCGTGCTATCGGACCCTGCACGCTACGGAAGCCTCTGTTTTTCGTAATTGCTCGATCGACGTGATATTGTGTGCAAGACGTTCTCCTTGTAAAACGCGCATTTGCCGGACTGTTCTTGATCAATAAATTTTCTAAGTTTTTCTTTTTGTCGGTTTTTGTTCATGCAAGTCCAGCAAGACGTCAGAAATTGCATCAAAGACGTGCTGACTTCGACAGATGCAATCCATATATGCTAACTTGAAATAAAATGCAAGAAACAATCAACCAGGAACCTCTGGTTTTATCGGTGGTGATGATTTGGCACAGGTATAAAAGGGCTCGATAAAGTTTCGGTGGAGCAGTACATCTTTGGCACATGAAGTATATATTCTACGGCGTATTGGCTGTGTTACTTATATCATTTTATTTTGTTGATTTCACAGTAAAGACAAATGTACAACGAATGAACTTGGATGTTTTATACGTAACAACATTAAAGTGCATGTCACGCCTCTAAAGCACACTATTGTCTGTATGTCACTAACGCTGGCTAAACGATTAAACTCAGTTCAAGAGTGATCGAAGCACCTTTAGACGCAACGTACTTGTATTCACGATGGGAAGTAGTCGCACATTTATTACATACATCTGTATTTTTAAAGTAAATTTGTGTTTAGCAATTTTTTTAAACAGAACAAAGGCTGCTACAGCTCGGCTGTAGCCGCCTTTGCCCTGCTCTAGCTACAGCTCTTAATATATATATGTTTCACTTTCAGCATATTCTGAAAACAAGGTGCTGTTTTGTCTCAACGAAAAGTTCGTGAATGATGGATCCGTTGGTTTTTATTGGTGTGCGCGCGTTCCTTAAGGAAAGGCTTTTTGCGTAGAAGCTTTACTTTTCTATTCTTCCTAAAACAAACACCAGAGTTTCGTCACATGACTCACAACTGCCCCTCCGCCTGCCCGCGGCCATATTTCGTAAACCTTGGAGGTACAGTACTTCATCGCTTGTATTCGATCATCCTCGACAAAAAAAAAAAAAAAAAATCGCTTCGCCACCAGACACATGTGATAAAGTACACGGTTAATTTGAATGATAGAATGTCATTGTTCTTGAAGAAAGGCCAGGTTAAAGCCAGGATTGCGCGTCCGTTTTTTGTTGTGAAAATGGCAACAACTGCGGAGTCAACGTCCGACACATGATAAGGAAGAGGAAAATATCGGTATTCAAACGTTTATCAGGTAGGATAAATACTAACCAGCCTTGAGAAACTCGCACCCTTCGTGGTGAGCAGTTGAAAACACCCACTCGGTCTGGACAAGATGGTTATTTACAGCTGCTTACCAATCGCCTATAAAGTGAGAGTTGCGTTTCTTGGATACTTATCTGCCTTATGAATCTACAGACCCTAGGAATGATACATACATTAGATTTAAATTTAAACATTTGGCAGGCCCTAAACATCCTACATAAAAAAACTACTTATCACTACGTGACACAGGATGGTTTTTTTTTAAAGCTTCTAAAAATCCCTAAAATAGGCTTTACGGGATAAAATAGAAACATTTTGCTTCAATAAAATACCTACCTCGGTGGGCGTGAAAGATTGCAAAACCATAATGATTAGCGAGATAATTAACTAAAATGTCCGAGTTCATTTTAATTCGTGAAAAGAAACATAGGGTTCAATTGAGAGACTTGCCAAGCAAAATCAGAAACCACTGAATCCGCTCGTTTTAAAAAAATATATAAAGCAGGTACAGTATTTTCCGTCGTTCTGAGATAAAAAGCTTCTAGGTTTACGTTTCTTAACGGAGCGCATCTAACGCCCGCGGTCCTGCTTCCCGGTGACCGCGGTGCAAATCCACCTCCTCCTCTCGCTCGTACGATGGAGGGAAGTAAGGCACAGGTGTGTTGCGCGTCTCGGCTACTGGGGAGCAGGACCGCGGGCCCAGATATGCGCTCTGATAAGAAACTGAAACATACAAACGCGTTCAAATTAAACGCTTTTACGAAACGCCGTAAAATGCTGCCCTCGCCTTATATCTTTGAAAAATGGTTGATTCAGTGCTTTTCAATGATGCTTAGCAAGTGTCTGAGTTGAAGTATGTGTTTATTTTCACACATTAAAAACAAAAAAATCACGATTAGCTAAGTATCTTGCCAATCAGTATATTTTTGCAGTCCTTGACGTCCGTCAGTGCTGGTAGTTTTTTTTTGGTGACTAGTTTATATATATATATATATATATATATATATATATATATATATATATATATATGTGTGTGTGTACTCGGCAGGCTGACTCGGCAGGCAAAAGGTGGGAACATAACCATCGCTATTATCGCACCAATTACATGAAGTTTGTTCATTCACTTTTTATTTTCTGTAATTAATATATATGTTAAAATCACAAAGTTAGAGGCGGTCGCTTGCCAAGACTGTTCTATTTTGTAAAATTCACGTAACCAGTCGTGTTTCGCGATATTCGTCCACAAATTTTGCACTATTATCCAGCTAATGTCGCAAAGTTCGTCTATGCTGCCTACTTTCGCGGGCTTGCTGGACAGAGTGGATAAAAGGTTGGATTAAGTAGGCATCGTTGGGGCAGATATCTCGGAACACGGGTTAGTTGCGGGAATTTTACAAAAAGAAACACTCTTGGGATACGACCGCATCAAATTTTGTGATGTAATCATGCATCCTAATTGCATTAATTTAAAAACTAAGTAAGGAATTTTAGTTAATTATTCCGATAACAGGAATAGCTATATTTTCGTCTAACTTCCACCGGGCCATGTAAGCACGCTGTGAAATGCGCATTCATGTAACTTTCGCCATTTTTATTTAAACGTTTGAAGCAGCAAAAAAGCCCCTTATATATATATATTATATATATATACATATATATATGAGAAGAAAATAAAATCCTTGGTGAAAAAAGCAAAAACGGACGGTTTATATATATATAAACGAACATTTGCAGAAGACTGAATCTTACTTCATGCAATGAATGAAAGAATCAAAGTTTTACGAACCCGCCGAAACCAAAATTAAACGGCGGAGCATGGATTATTTTGGCTTTCGCCGGGCTCGTACAACTCTGATCCTTTGATCCCACGGATTAAGTACCATTCATTCATCTGCATATTTCCTCCTCGGAGACCACTTACGACAACGAAAAGAGCGCGTGATGTATATATGTATATGTATATATATATATATAAATATATATATATATATATATATATATATATATATATATTTACCGGATTATAGTTCGCATCTAGTGCACAGTCCGCGCCTGTAGTTTACGTAAATCAATATTATTATACTCCGTTATTCATAAAATCCTTCAATTCTTGTCACAGTGTACGATCTAGAAAAAACATATCCTCATATAGTCCGCACCTATAGATAGTCTATATTGGGTAAAATTATTACCTTTAAACATGTGGAGTAAAAAATACCATTAAATACATTATTTTTTTATCTTTTAGATTTGGTTTAGAAAAATCTGTGAAGGCCACACTTATGCGATTTGTGCAGGTGAGTTATACGGCCTGGGGGATATAGTATATGGAGATCACTGATCTCTATGACAATTGCTGGATCGCGTTTGCCCGCTCCGCGATTGCGGTCACTGGCGGCCATCTTTAGGTAGAGTTTTATCACCTCTAGCCAATGTAAGCTGCTGCAGCCGCTATCATCCATCCATGGCAGATCGCGTTTTGGCAGGTGGGTTGGCAGGCTGCGGTCAAAATAGCGTGGGTGATATTGCGTGCTTGATTAAAATTATTTGACGAAACATGTTTTTGAAACCCGGCGTGGACACTAGTCCGGTTTCTGAGGACCTGGTAAAAGTTTCACGAAATCGAAGCACCGGGAGAAAAGCAGCACAGCACGTATCGAAAGTCGCATCGAAAGAAGCATCGAAAGCAGACGACGGTAGGGAGTCTGCTTTTGATGCGAGCTGCGCTGCTTTCCGCCGGTGCTGTGCTTTCGTAGAACTTTTTCCGGGTCCTTAAAGATGAAGCTACTGTTCACGACGGGTTTCAAGAATCTGCTTCGTCGAACAACTTCAATCAAGCGCGAAATGTCACCCACGGTACAGTGTACTAGATCTACGGCTATTTTTATGGCAGCCTGCCGCCATTGCGCTGTCCGCCATATTACTATGATGGCTAGAGATGATATAACTCTACCTAAAGATGGCCGCCAGTGACCGCATTCCGGTCCATAGGAGGAGCTGGTCAAACGCGATCCAGCAAATAGACATAGAGATCAGTGATGGAGATAGTCGCAACTAGCCGTCGGCTAAACAGGTAAAATATGTCAATTATTTTTTTGATTATTACAAATAGACATATGGTTCCAATTAGAAACTTGCTGAGCGTCATTGAAAACGACTATAAAACTCTTTTTAGGAGGATATAACGCCGGGGCAGCATTATACGGCGTTGTCTAGAAACGCTTCATTCGACGCGTTTCTAAATTTTTTTTTTTTTTTTTTTTTTTTTATTGGTGCGCATTTACGCGCCGCGGTCCTGCTCCCCAGTGTGGCTGAGACGCGCAACACACTTGCGCTCTACTTCCCTCCATGCTACGAGGGAGGCGAGGGGGTGGCTTTGCTCCGCGACCAACTGGGAGCAGGACTTCGGGCGCAAAGATGTGCTCCAATAAGAAAGCGAAATCCAGAAACGCGTCCAAATGGAGCGTTTTTACTGAGCGCCTACAATGCTGCCCGGCATTATATCCTTCTAGAAATAGTTGATTTAGGGCCGGTTGCACCAACGTCGCTTAGCGCAAAGCGGAGCTTAGCCGGGAACTTAAGCTTAGTTTCGGTTTCGTTCGGTTGCACCAAACTCGCTTATCGCTAAACCTAGCACTAAACTACGCTTAACTTAAGCGCTCAACATTGGGCGCTTTGCTTCTGGTTGTTTCTTAATCCTGGATTAAAAACATGGCGGCTGGTTTGTCACGGTCGACGCGGTGGACGAAATTGGTTGTGCAAAGTGTTTTAGGCTACATCAGCGTGAAAGTTTCGACAAAATGTCTTTCGATTGTGACAAGGATGCAAAATATTGTCGCGTGAAGTGTTGACCGACCCCTGTTTTCAAGTTGGCTCTCCACTTTCAGGGCGTGTTAGCCCTAACCGAG